GCATCCTGAATATCAGAAACAAACCTCTAGTATTCAACGCTGTTGACTGGCAGGATGAATGTTGAATGTTACATATTGGACATCACTGTTGAAATTAAAAGTACTCACAATGTATGGATTGGTTAAGTATTTTAGAGACCCTCTCCACTCTTGCATGAATGGGGTATAAGAAGCAAACAAAGACTTAGTCTTCACCCTTGGAGGTAGAGCTTAAAGCTTGATTCCTAAATAGCCTGAGGTCTAGCAGTCGGGGACGAGGATTTCTGGCGGGCTGGTGAATAACTCAGGAGTAAAATTCCTCACTCTGGAGTGTAGTGTCAGTCTCAAGGCAGGCAAGGTGGACTTCAGGGCATGTAAAATGACAGAAAGCTGAGACTTCATTAAATTTACAGAACTGTGCAGTTTTGGACCTACTTGCTAATCAAGGTATGGCTAATAAATGTCTATATATGTGGCAGAATTTGTTTTGAGAATTGCTCTCATTTTGACCTAGTAGCAAGATTGAGAAGGAACTAACTCTCATCCACCTCAACTTCTCAATGGCCACTGTTATCTTCCAGGAAAAATCGAGGAGTTGTATATGACCAAATTGACTTAGATCAGCAGCAATATATGGGCCCTACTTCCAAGGAACTCACTGAGGAGTTTCTGCAGGCCTAACCACCGTGCACCAGAGGCTACTGGAGTTCTAAGAGACCAGTCAATAGCCAAGGTCCCTGTTATGCCAAGGAAGTTGGTAAAAGATATTTATCTATGCAGGGGTGGACGAAAGTAAATTTACTGTTGTTCATGTGGAAAAAGAAATGTGGGTAATGATTATTACAGTAGCTTCATTAACTCAAAAGAATGTCACTATGCAACTATAAACTGACTTTTGTCTGTCTATGTATATATTAGTCTACTAAGCTTCCGTTAGTCAATAGCCAAACAAAGATCAGGTTCTCAGCTCTTCATTTATGGGTCAGAAGCATAGATCTTGGAAAAACCCACATACTTCCCACATTCCCTAAGAGATCTCTAACTCTTCTTGTAAAAGTTTGTGGAGAGGTCAATCTTACAGGTTGTTGAGGACCCAATATGCAAAGTGAAAGAGAGGATTTCTTGATGCCATCCCTATACTTTGCTATTCACAGATAAAGAAGTAATTCTGCATGGTGAAGGACTTGTATCTCAATATTCAGTTCTGGGTTTCTCTCTCCTCATAAAGCTTTTGGTCTTAAGTTGGGTGTTTTGTTTGTTTCCCCCCAGCTTTAAAGTTGGGTCACTATAGTCCCATGCTGGCGCTCTCCTGGCAGTTGCCCTTTGGAATCAATTGCTTCTTGGTATCACTGTTAATAAAGAAAATACAAGCCAAAATGTAAGCCTTTTGATCCCACCAAAAATACAACCTTAATTATACAAGCGTGAGTAACGGTCCTTCGTCGGACTCGCCCTCCGGCTGAGATTGGCGAGGGAGCGTGGTACTGCCACAGGCTGTAATTTTCGGAACTGCAAACTTCACTTCTCTCTGGTTCCTCCTTCTTACCCATCCCATCCACCACCACAGGCTTTAAATATAAAGCTGTCCTTTTTGGTCATAGTTCATGGCTAGTTATAGCAAAACTCTCTTCATACACAGCCAGACTTTGAGGATTTGTTTAAAGGTACCAGTTAAGAATACCATAGTTAAGAATAAATTTCTCCACAAGTTTAGAGAAAACTCTCCTGCTCCCTTTCCCAGAAGTACTAAAATAAAGTTAAGAAGTCCTTTTCTTTCCTATCCCCCACAATGCCATAGTTTGCTTCAAACAGCTCTTCTTCCTAATGTTTGAAACCAGTAGCCAATGTGTATCATGCATTTTCCTTAATGCATATTCTATGGTGGATATCACACAGCAGTGAATATTTTTAAAAGATTAAGACATGTGTATACAACTTCAAGGAGCTCACAAGACTAGTAGAGGAGGAAGAATACCACCCAATGACACGTGATGAGTGATTATGGGTAATCCAATGAAGCTTCTCAAACTGGGACGTGTAACTCGTGTCCCTCCAGTGTAGCATAGCATGATAACCAAGATCACTGGCTTCGGAGGCAAACTATTTGCCTTCCAGTCTACCCCTCATCATTACTTAGCTGTGCAGTATTAGACTAGTTACACATAATCTCCCTGAACCTCTGCCTCCACATCTGTACAATGGAGCTAATACTAGTTCCTCTTTCAGAGTGACCATAAAGCACTCAGCGTAGTGCCCGGCACACAGTAAGCTCTCAATAAATGTCAGCTGTTGTTCATCACTCATTTTTCAAGGTTTGAATCAAATGTGAAAGCCTTTAGATTCCAGCCAAGTTCTACTCTCCAACATTGTTTTGTAAATTTTTAAAAATCAAATTAAAAAATTAAATTTAGATTGAAATGATTATTCATATAGAACCTATACAACAGATTATATCAAGTGGTGAAGCTGAGAAAGAGGTAATTCTTCTACATAAAAAAAAGATAGGGTGCTTAGTTATGGTAGATTGGCTATGGTAGATTGGGAGTTTATTTTCTCTCCCAAGTCTGTGCTAAAATGATAACAAGTGGATTTTAAAGTTGGCAAACAAACACCAACAAAACAAACCACAAGGGCTGATATTGCTGGTGAGAGAGTTAAACAAATTTTTGGAAGACATAAATCAAATCAAAGAGTAGTCACTGCAGTCTAAAGTGCCTACGAAAGGGGCATCTGATTAAAACAAGCCAAAGCTCTGAGAGGCTCTAAAGGACTTGGAGGCATGTGGTCCCACAGAGGGTGAAAATAATAGTGAGAAATAGGGGTAAGGGTCCAATGTGTGAAAGCGGGATTACTATGTAGATAGACCACTAGCTCTTGGCACTCAGGAGAGAATGAGGCCAAGGGCCCAATGTGGGGGTTGTTCCAACTACCAAGTATGTCAGTCCTAATTATAGACTTGGGGACCAGAGAAATGACCGCCTGGTAGGTCTCTGGACCCTTACTATAAGCCATACTTTGACCAGAGCTTCATTTATTATCTGATCTCTTCTCATGTGTCTACTTAGGAAGCCATGATGGTGTTTGGGGTCTCTGGATATCAATGTCAACTGGGACCCTGTGTCCAATAAGACCTCACAATCTCTTTCCCCAATATATGCTTACTCGAGTAAATGGTGGTAGGTCTCTGCAGAAAGACTAAAGTAAGCATTACAGTGTATACTTGCCGTAATGGTGTGTGCGTGTATGTCTAAAAAGAGCTAGATAGTAACTCCAGAAAAAACAATAGATTATGCCCCTGCTGATGTGGCTCAGTGGATTGAGTGCTGGCCTGTAAACCAAAGGGTTACAGGTTCAATTCCCAGTCAGGGCACATGCCTGGGTTGCAGGCCAGGTCCCCAGTAGGGGGTGCATGAGAGGCAACCACACATTGATGTTTCTTTCCCTCTCTTTCTCCCTCCTTTCTCCTCTGTCTACAAATAAATAAAATCTATTTAAAAAAATAATAGATTATGAAAGAAAATACTATATTATTTGGCTCCATAAAAAACAATATTGACAGTCATACATGTAGAAAACAAAAAGTTATTATTTCAGTCAAAAAAAAGTGATGTATGTGCAAATATAATGAAAGGGTGAAGGAGGAGCCGTCAGAGCCAACATCAGCTGCGCCTTCAGTGGGCCCTTCCAAGGCTCAGTCAACGCTCAAGTGTGCTGGCCCGTGCTGAGGAGGGCAAGCCCCTCCTGCACATTCAGAAGGACCAGAACAGCCTGGAGAGTCAGAGTTTATTAAAGCATCACCCAGATGTCCTCACCTCATGTGTCAGGGACTCGGGTTTGCCCAGCTGGAGCCATGGCCACCTTGGTTGACTTTCCAACCATCTTTGAAGTTTATCCAGTCAGAACATCAAACTCCAAACTTGATCTTCAGCTTTTACTGTGAGCCCATTGCATGAGATGTGAACTTTGAAAGCTGCCAAAGAGATGTTCTGGCTTTTACACTCAGTTTTCAACTTGTTGACTGCCCTCAGCTTTTTGTTATCAATCTGTAGTTTCACTGTAATTTGGGAAAAAACCACCCAATTCCACTATCACTGTATTTCTCATCCCCTCCCACCCCCCACCATACATGTTCCAATTGCCTGAATCATCGTATTGACCATTGCATTTTCCTCTACTGACACATCCTGGCTCACTACTCAATCCGTGAACTGCCACGTTGTCCCAAGACTGTCAGTGCACCAGCTGCCACCAGGAGTTGGTTCCTCATTACCATTCAGGCAGTGAGTGAGTGGCCCGGTTCCTGCACCCTCCTTAGTGCCTGCTTTCTCAGACCACTTCTGACACCAATGGTTAGAGGTTGGATTCCCGAGAAAACAGGTGGGAGCTTCACTGGGATGTGAAAAGTTTATGGGAAGGAACGCTTGTAAAAGAAAGGGGAAAGATTAGGCAGGATAAGTGTCAGACCACAGTGCAGATGTGAGAAAACTCTGCCAACCCAGAGGGAGCCCCAGCATGGAACTGTGAGCGGAGCCGGGCAGGTGGCCACGCCTTTTTGCCACCTCTTTGTGTGGTCATTAGCCAGGGTTGCCAGAGACCCTGAGCTCAGCCATCCCGCTCTCTTCAGTCATTCGCTGTCCACTTCCCCGAGAAAAGGATACGCTTGACTCGAATGCTGGTCTAGATCCTGAAGGAGGTGACTGCAGTGAGTCTTTTCTTAAAGAAGGATCTGAGCCACACTCTGTACCTGCCACTGCCTGGTTCTTACCCTGAGCTTATATTCTGCTGAGGGAAATACCTGTAAGTATATGATTGCTATTCAATTGGTATACAAAAGGCACAGAGTCAGCTCAAATTAGCTGTGTGGAGGAGTGAATGGGTCTGATAGATGGGGAAGAAAGACTCACCCTCTGGGGTCTTGATCATTTTCTTGTCCCCCTTACTTAGCATGTCAACTTGAAAGATTGAAACAAGGCTCCTTTCTCCTCCACCATTGTTCTGCGTGTGGTTGACTCTTCTTCACCATGTCTTCTCACAAGACTTTCAGGGTCAAGAGGTTCCTGGCCACAAAACAAAAGCAGAATCAGCCCACTCCTGAATGGATTTGGATGAAACCTGGTAATACAGTCAGGTACCACTCCAAGAGGAGACACTGGGGAAGGACCAAGCTGGGTCTATAAGGAATCGCATGCTCTATCCAGGTTGCTTGCATCTTACCATGTCACTAAAAAGATTCCTGCTAGGTGGACGGTTGGACGTGTCTTATTGGGACATTACTGGAGGAGTGATTTTTCTCTTTGTTAATTTGTTTCTGCTCTAGGATGTTGGCTCAGTAATAAATATGTGAGACTTTTAAACAACAAAAAAAAGAAAGGTTGAAATAAAATCACACTGTGTATAATATGTGTATTCACAGAGGGTCAATTTATCTTTTAATCCTTAAATGAAAATAACGAAAACAATGCTTGGCATCTTCCAACCACAAATGGTGAAGTATTTAGCCAAAGTGGAAACTAATTTGATTCTTCATGGAGTTATAACAGAAAGCCAAGAAAATGTCTTAGCGCAGAATATTTTATGCTTACTCAATTTTAAGAATTTAATAGACTTTTAAACAATCATCAAAAAGTTTTTATTAAGAGACTATGCTTAGCGTGGTCCTTGTAACTGAAAGAAACATTACTGTGGAATGTATGTGAATTGGGATAATCAATAAATCATTCTACAATAGCTTCTAGATTTACCATCATCTAGAAAAATTCAATCTATTCCTTCAGAATACAACTGGTAGAGTCATTACAAATTTATTTGATTTTTTTGTCCTTTGTTGGAATTTTTAAAGTATAGGAGAATATACTTTAGTTGAAGAAAAAGAAATAGTAACATATCTCTTCCTTGAAAGAAAGCTATTAATTTTGTGATTTCCCAGATGTTTTCATGGATATCTTCATTCCATGAAAGTTACAATCTGGGCAACTTACTTCTCCTTATATGTGTAAATCATTAGGCTTAAGCATTCAAATATATCTACTGAATAGATCATGATTCTCTACTATAATTTGTTTTATCATTGAGTAATTATAATATAGCACTCCAAGAAGGAGGTCAGTGAACTCCACCATTTGCCCAAGGTTACTTAGCTATTATGGAGATCCCTTTGAATTGAATGATTATATCACCTTGAAGGATTTCCCCCAGAGTTTTTATGGGGAAATCATTCTCATCTTGGTTCTCCAGATTTGTTGCCCTCCTTATTTATTGAACAGAATATACACACATATTCTATAAAAATATCTTTGGCTATAAATGCATATTCCTTAAAGCTTATAAACAAATCCATCAGGTAGTAAAGGGTGAATAATGGATTTCAGGATCTAAAAAAGTTTCAAATATTTGATGCTTGCATAAGATCACTAGAAAGACTACCCACAAATGAACAATGCAGACCTTTCTGCAGTGACAATATTCTATGTCAGCCAGAGGCCAGGGTACTGTGGCCAGTTTCCTCGGAGGAACCTGTAAGTCATGACACTCAAAATAACTGCCTCTGCAAGCACTTAGCCAGTGTCCCGGAAACCATCTATTATTTTCTTAGTCATATATTCAGTTACAGGATTCCTTGGCCTTGAAGATTCTACTTGACTCTAATAGTGTAGCCTTTTCAAATGGTGTGCAAGAAAACTACTGAGATTCTACAGATTCACATGTCCATCTGGGTTTGATTTAGTTAACCTATCCAGTGTTATATTTACTTATGTGCAATTTTTCAGACACATGGTTTTGCTTCTCTACTTTCCAAGTAAGTTCTGTTTACTTAGGCAGATGTTGCAAATTAGCTCTTAAAATATTGCAAATGAAGTAAAGAAATCCTTTGTAGTCAATGTGAGCCTAATGTGAATTTCATTACTGATTCATAAGACAGACCAATCCCAGAATCCTATGCAAATCCTCAAGGAAAGATTTTTTTTTTTTAACTTAAAGACACCTTTCCCCTCCACTTTCTCGATTCTTGGCATGTGGTGTTGCCACCACACCTTTGGAGCATCCCACATTATCTGGAAAATGTTGAGCTCAGATACATTCTTGACCATAGAAAACGTGAGTACCTTAACCTTTCCCCAGTTTCTTCAATTGCTCCATTAAACCAAAGCTCTATTGTGAAAGACGTACTGTTAAAGCATCCACTTAAACCTCTAGTTGTAAGAATTTCATTAATTAGGCTCATGGGTCAGTTTATTGACTTTACCATGAGGCAACATTAATTTGTAGCATTTAAACCCATCCAGTTAAGATTTTTTAAAGTGTTGCTTTGAGAATATACATTATGAATGAACATATTATTTCATCATTAGGCAGAGAATACTGAGGATTTTCTTTTCTTTTTAATTAGTCCCATCAAAAAAGGAATGAACTATGAACCTTTTTTTAAATGGAATTAATTGTCCCTCATTAAGCTCATTTATTTACATTTTCCACCATCTACACTTTGCTGCTGACTTCTAAATCTATGCCTGCAACACACATTTCTCCAAAGTAGTCCAGCCCCTTATTTTCAACCATGTGCATTGTGACTTTGCCTGGATGTGACTAGAACTCACAACTGTGACTGCAAAAGAAATCACATTATCAATGATAACATGTCAAGAAAGTTGGGAAGCTTTCACTCAATACTCAGAGCATGGCTGAACATCAACAACGTTGGCATAATCAGGGAGCTTCTTAGAAATGCAGAATCTCAAGGCAGGGAGAGGGGGGTAACAGGGGAAAGAAGGGGAAGGTCAAGTCAAGAAACGTGTGTAAAGTACCTATGGACAAGGATAATGGGAGGGAGGATTGAATGTAGGGGGTGGGCAGGGCAGGAGGGAGTCATGGGGGGGAAATAGGGACAACTGTAATTGAACAGCAATGAACAAAATGTTTTTAAATGCAGAATCTCAGGCCCTATCCAGACATACTGAATGATGATCTACATTCTAACTAGATCATAACTGTGTTAGCAACAGGCACCCCTTTTCTGGGCTAATTTTTCAACACCTTATAATTTGAGAAGCTCAGAATTAGACTGCACGGACTTCAGGATCTGACAATTTTCAGTTTGTTTTCTAGTTTGGTGACTGAATGACTATGAGACCATGAGCAACTGAGTTAGCCTCTCTGTCTCTCAATTTCCTCATCTGTGATATAAGGATAATAAAACTGAATTGAAAAGGTTGTTGCAAACACACCCCCAAACGTGTTTGTGTGTGTGTGAGAGAGGGAGAAAATTAAATAAGTTAGCTCTATAGACTTATTAGGTTGAATAGTCAAATATTGACAATTTCACAGTTCAACCTGAGTAAACAGAGCAAGCTCTTAATAAACGACAGGTAAATTACCTGAAGTAGTATCACATCGCTGCCATAACTACTGCAAACCTAGTGGCTTAAAGCAGTGGTAATGCAGAAGCCTGAAAACCAGGCGGTGGGCGGGCTGGTTCCTTCTGGAGGTGCTGAGGAGGAATCCGCCCCATCCCTCCGCCCTGTGTCTAAAGATTCCCCACAGTCCTTGCCACTCTGGGGCTTGTAAACCAATTGCATCAACCTCGCCCTCATCACACGGCTTTTGCTCCTCTGCGTCTCTGTGTGTCTCCCCTCTTCTTGTAAGGATACCTGTCATTGGCCTTCAGGCCCCCCCCTAAATCCGGCATAACCTCATCCCGTGATGCTATTTCCAAATAAGGTCACATTCTGAGATGCTGGGTGAACATAAATTCTGGGAGGGGACACTCTTCAACCCCCCCGTCCAGGGCCCTCCCGCCCTCCCTTTCCGTGATATTGGTAACAACGCTCTTAAAAACTTGGAGTTATTTTTGACTCGTCACTCTCTTATATTCATTAGATTTGGTTGTGCCCAGGTCTAGCGATTTTCTTCTTCAAAATGTGTCTCAGCTTTTCGTCACGTGGGGCAAGGCTTGTGTTTTAAAGTTAAGCAAAAATAGAGCAAGATGTAACAGAGCCCAGACTGCAAAAGGCTTGGGAGGATTACAACTGTGTTAGCAACAGGCGCCCCTTTTCTGGGCTAATACAGCCCTGCTTTCAATAACCCTCTACTCCCTACAAACGGAGTTGCTGTATCTAATATCTCCTATGGAGAGAAGGCAGCGTCACACTTTCTAGGCTTCTCTGGGTTCCGGAGCACCACACGTCACACCTAGGAACACTACTTCCTTCCTTCTGTGAACAAGGTAACTCGGGATGCTGCCATATCTGAGGGGGAGTAAGAGCAAGACAGCACTCGGCAGCAGGTCCAGAGGGCACCGCTCTGCTGCTTGGGCCGTACAGTCTGGCAGATGTCACGATGATGGAGAAATCAGGGAGGAAAGGAGATGGAGGGGAGAGTTTACGGCAAGCCCAAGTGGGAGAAAGTCACTGCCGACTCCAGGGTTTGGTTCAGACACAGTACCATTCCATCTGCATGGACAACTACATACACAGCTTTTGAAAAATGGCTCTTCGAGTGCTGCGGAGCCATGGCGAGAGCTGGAGGGACTGAGCGAGGAGCACCGGAGCGATTATGCACCTCAAACTGTGCAACAGGAGCTGGAGCCTGCGGAAGCTGCCAAACTTCCAGCCATGAAGGCTCGGCAGCCGCCCGTCATACAAGGGAAACACACATCCGAGCTTGAGCCTCAGCAGGGCCAGAGGGCACCGCGAGCTGCACAAGCAGGGAGCCCAGGTCCCCGTGTGCACCATCGCAGTTTCACCAGCATCTAATCCCCAGATCGCACCTCTGGTTGTATCAGGGAGGAGAAGGGGAGTCCTGCATGATCAAGGGTAAGAGGAGGGAAATGCCCAGGCTTAGTTTACAGGTGAATTGGTTCAGTATGTGCAAGCCAGAAACTGAATGGCTGCTGTATTACATTCCCACTCCGGAGTGACCTTGAGAGACAGTTGCAAGGGAAAAACCTCCTCAGTGGGTATAGTATTTCCTGAGTGGTGTACTTGGTCATATGCACCTGGTGTGGAAGAAGAAGCAGCCCGAGATGGTGTAACTACAGAGACTCGGAGTAGAAAGTGGCCTGTCTGGCTAGCTGGAGACCCAAAAGCAAAACGATTGAAAGCTTGGAATTTAATCTTCAAAGCAAGGAATTCTGAGGTGGAGGAATGAGATAAGTATCCAGGGTTGTATGTGAAGTATGTAG